GTAACATGTAGATTCTGAGAAAGCTTTCATGCATTTCATTTTTTTTAAAAAAAAGACCAGTCTATGAACAATTTCCAAATATATATAAAAACATCATGATTGAATTCCGTCAAGAATAATATTATTTATTTTACCTATTTATAATTAAAATATTTTTTGTTTAGTTTAACAATTTGTGTTAGTTGAAGTTACAGTTTTAGGTTATGAAACAAGGGTTTTATTGTTTGTGTTTTTTTACGAGGGTTTGATAACTACTTGAACTCCTACAGTAAGAATGTTTTAATATAGGCCAGCGATTTTCAACCTTTTCCATCTCATTGCACATATAAACTAATTACTAAAGTTCTGTGGCACACCAAAAAATATATATTTTGCTGATCTGACAAAAAAAATAGGTATAATTTTGATTCATTCACATCTAACAGGTATTGTTGTGTTGGCTGTTATCTTTTTTTTATTTGACAATCTAAGGGAAAAGAGGTCAGTGCCCCTGACTAAATAGTCAGGTATTGCATGTTTTAAAAATTGTTGCAGCACACCGGTTGAAAATCGCTGATATATAGGCAATAGTCACTTTGATTTAAAAAAAAAAAAAATACCTCAGTATCTACTTTTCTTCAGTATTACATCTGTTTGTTTATTTAGTTGCAGAGATATTTCGTGTGTGCCTGCCTGGCGGCAGGTCTATTTTGCCATGTGGATATTTATGGTCTGTAACTATATTTATACATGTATATATACCTATACTAGTCAAAGTGGATACTGTAGCTGTAAACCATTAAAAATTAATATCATTCTTTTCTGTGTTTATTTTTTTATCATGTAAACTGCTATGTGTTCATTGCATAACCCAAATATTGTATTTCAACTAATTTTATTTTTTTAAAAATATATTTTTATTGATTTCAGAGAGGAAGGGAGAGGGAGAGAGACAAACATGAACACTGAGAAAGAATCCTGCATACCCCCTACCGGAGATCCAGCCCACAACCTGGGCATGTGTCTGCCTGACCATGACCTCCCCCAACCGTGACTTGTTCATAGGTCGACACTCAACCACTGAGCCACATTGGCTGGACTGTATTTTAACGAATTTTCATCAGCAGGCACCTTCTGATGGAACCATCCCCTTGGGTCCAATTCTGTGATAGGACTAGAGAAGACAGGGGCACATGGCATGATTTTTGCTGTCCAGACACTTACACTTTAATTGGGATAGAAAATAGTGAAAAATAGGAAATTAATGCCAGGTCTGGAGTGCCTGACATTAATGCCCATATAGTAGCCTACCTACAGAAATTCAGGATTTATTCAGAAGTATGGTGAGCCTGCCAGCTAAGAGGAACTTCTGTACAGTTTACTTTTAAGTGACATCCAATCTTTCAGTCCCTGCCCCCAGCAGTAAGTATTGCTTCATTAGAAGCCAGTCATGTGCAGAAGTAGGTGTAACTGAGTGGAGAATTGAAAGGATATCCCCCGTTTGTAGCTTTGATCTAGGAGCCACATCTTCTCCCTGCCCCCACTCCCGCCCTCAAAAGTCTGCTGAAATCAAGGAAAGCAAACTGTCTCCCTTAGATGCGGAGGGAGGGAGAGAACCAGCTGCAGGGGGAAAGTGACAAGGCGAGGGGGCAGCTAGAGAATGGGATGAAGGGCCGCGGAGAAGGCGACACAAACCACCGGCTCCCCCAGAGGAAGGACTTTGTAATGCAGGAGCGGAGGAGATTGGCCTCCTAAAAGGTGGGGTCAATCCGCATTTGATTTTGAAAGTCAGGGGAAGAGGCACTCCTGTCCCTAAGCCTCTGCATGGCCAGAATGGAACCGTTGGTACTAATTTGCTAAAAGGACCTTTGTTATTGTTGTAAGGAGTAACATAGCAAGGCTTAGATGTAATTCATAGGCTTTAGGTATGAGAACTAATAATTTGATAACTGTATTTTTAAAAAAATAAGATAGTGTGAGTCTTTTTCTTTTTAAATATATTTTTTATTGATTTCAGAGCGGAAAGGAGAGGGAGAGATAGAAACATCAATGATGAGAGAATCATTGATTGGCTGCCTCCTGCACGCCCCCTACTGGGGATTGAGCCCGAAACTCAGGCATGTGCCTTTGACAGGAATCGAACCCAGGACCCTGCAGTCCGAAGGGCTGAAGCTCTATCCACTGAGGCAAACCGGTTAGGGTGATAACTTTATTTTAATGTCAAAAAATTTCCAAGATATCCACATAACTGTAATTGCATCCGATGACTGACAAAAAGTTTCTAGGAATTAAAAAATACTTTGACTTGCATTTATACTTAAAAGAAAATCCCAATAGTCACTATATTTGAAAAAAGTTATCTCCTATCTATCTATCTATCCATCTATCTATCTATGAACGAATAAGTTCTTTGGTCTAAACATACCTTACAGTGATTTGGGTTTTTTAATGTCTTGCAATAATTCTGCCCCTCTCGCTCCCTAACAGCATAAACTGTCAAACTCCTCAAACCTTTGTCAGAGGGAATGACTCACTAGGAAGATAATTGACACTCTGAAAAGTGAATGTTGACTGGGAGGGAGGAGGTACACACAGCACCCACTTTGGACTTTCAAGGCAACATCACTTGTGAGCTGAGTGACCCTGAACAAGGCAGCTTGTCTGAGCCAGTTATTCCTCTGAAGTCAGGATGACCAGACAAGGTTACTTGTTTGCAAGAGAAAGTGGGATGTCAAAGGGGTGTGAAGAAGGTCCCCCCCACCACACCCCAGTCCCACTAGTCCTGCTCCTGACTTCATTTCAGACAGCATAGGAGAGAACTGGAGTGTTTGCAAAA